AGTTCTTTGTTTCGAACTATACCGGTTTTCAAGACCGGAGCTATCAACCACTCGGCCATCTCTCTGAAATAAAATTTATATTTTATTCCACCCAATAGAACATGGACATATGAGTTGATACCATTACTATCTATAGAAAGATATTAGGTGTGAGTCTATAGGTCTATCTATCTGTATATATATAATATGGATGCATAATCCAGCAAGCATGCCCCTTTGAAATACAAGATGCCGATACTATCAGACGAAATAGGCCAATCCTCTTGTTCCTAGATACCGATACAAGCCTATTTCAGAAGCCTTCACTAGGGCCGGCCCTGAGATTTTGGTGGCCCAGGGCAAAGTCAAAAAGAAGGCCCTATAAATGCAAGACTACTTACAAATAAAAATATTTGTTTTCATTTATACATGTGTATATAGAATGTAGACCTTTTACAACTAATAACAAAAATTAGGCCTTAAAAAAAAATTCATTTTACCTGTGGAAATGTTTAAAATATAAAGCAATGATTGAACACAAGAAAAAATAAAAATGAAAGAGACTAAAAGAAAAATATGACATTTTAAGTAGTAGAATGCACCAAAGGAAGAAAGAGGGGTAGAACAATATATGTTAATTATATCAACCACAAATTACTCCTTCCAAAGTCATTTATAGTCGTTTTTTTTTTTTTTTTTTACAAAGATAGTCCATTTGATACATTTATAATTAGAACATCAACTCATCAAGCATCAAAAAAATAAAATAAAAATGTTTTATTTCTTAACACTAGTAGGACTTGAACATAGATTTGGCTTGAATAAAATCAAAGAGAAACCATTAATGCAAGATGGAACTTCAGAAATCTTGATGTTAGCTTCTTATATGTACTCTATACCTTTATATATACTAGTATACTATTGTACCCCATATTAAGAAACTATTTTAGAAGCAGCTTTTAAAAGAACAATAAAATAAATAAATATTTTGGGGACCTCCTTGAGATGGGGCCCAGGGCAATAGCCCTTCTCGCCTTGCCTCAGGGCCGGGCTTGGCCTTCACATGCACACACCATACAATCCAATGAATTCACATGCATAAACAAACAAAACTTTTAAAATATGGGCTGTTGCATTGTTGCTGCACTGCTAACACTATTATTGTGCTGCTGACACTATTACTGCGCTGCTGCTGGAAAAAGACAAGAACTTCACATGGTCTCTTCACATGTTACTTTGGTCTTTGGTGAAGGAGAGAGGTCTAGGACTTGCATGTCTTTGATGTTTAAGATAAGGGGCTTTTTTTGTCTTTCTGAAAATATTTTGGGTTTGTTTGAGAGCAGCTTGCTGCTTTTGGGCTTTTCACTAGATTCCCTATAAATTAACTCCCTTGACTAAAAAATAGCCAATTTACCCCTGTACTGATTTATATTGCCAATTTTACTCAAACCGTTTGATTTTATGGAATTTCATCCAATATTCCGTCAATCCAACCATGTGAGGCGCATGGGGACTATTTGAGGGTATTTGCGTCCTGGTCTCAAACCTTCATTCGATAGCCATTTAGAGCAAGTCAACCCCAAAAGGCTAAGGCAAGGGCTGCCACTATTCATGTGAATAGTGGCAGCTTTGCCTTTTTTTATTCCACCCCAAAAGGTTAGTGCAAGGGCAAATAGTATTCATTGTACTTTATTTCCTATTTTTTTAAATACTTTAAACCATTAATTTTGATAAGCATTTCAGATAATATTTTCAATTGCCATGTGTCACTATTTATTATAAAATTCTCACCTAAAATTTTAGACAACATTTTTGGATAAGATTTTCGGATAAAATTTTTGGTTGCCACGTGTCCATTTTTATTATAAAATTCACATCTCACTTATCATACAATTGAAATATCTACTCACTCATCATACAATTGAAATACTCCCAATCCTCATAGTCCGACATAATCGAGTACAAGGACGACTCAATCATTGTCGGAGGTGGTTCCACCGGATCACGACGTGGGGGAGTATTTTCCTTCGGATGACGTAATAGTGCCATTATTTCTAACATAGAACGCACCAATGGAACCGATTGCGGGCATTGCTCACTTGAGGAGCCATGTGTAATGGTTTTCCTCTTTTTTGTTTTGCCTTGAATAATCTATTAAAAAAAATGAAATTGGAAATGCAAGAAATATATATATAAATGAGATTAAATTGAATAAAATGGCAATTATTATTTTTTACCTCGTCGCCAAAATTTTGACCTCTTCGAACGTTTGTCCACAACCCTCCAGCTTCGATGGAAGAGGCCATTTATATTTTTGCACAAATGGGATTTTGTAATAGAAAAATGTGAGTGGAAAGTAAAAAATATTGGAAGGAGAAGAGTTGGTATGAAGATTTGGTGTGAAAAGTGAATAAAATTGATAGGTATTTATAGGGAAAAAAATCTAGTTTTTTTTATTTTTTTATTTATATTTAAATTTTTTTAATTTGAATTTTTTTGGAATTTTTTTAGCCAAAAAAAGAGGGTCGTCGGATTTCTGGAAAAAAAACCATCACAGCGCCCATGAAGCCCCACGTGGCATTTTTCCATTGGGTTCTATCAGCGCTGACGTCATCGTGATGTCACAATGATGTCAGCGCCTTCGGGCTTCAGCCCAAGCAGGATTTGTCCGTGGGCTTGCCCAGGTTGGTGGGACCCAGGGCTTGCCTGGGCTTCTTCTCTCACGCTAGAGGGCTACTGGGCTTGCCTGGGGGGCCTCCTGCCCGGTTTGTAGTCTACGGATTCAAACTCAACCACATGCCCCACATAAGCCCCAAATCCACATATTGAGCATGCATCAGCTAAGTCGTCTCACAAGTTGCCACGTCGCATGCCGCACTTGGACCTATGCCTCTTCATGTAAATAATGTTACTAAACTACTCATGCCACCTAAGCAAACTTAACGCCTCTTCTTATGACATGATTGGGGTAATGGGAGACAAAAAATGCGAGTACAATGGACATAGCGACCCAACTTGAAATGTAAGGGTAAAGTGGGATTTTCGGTAAAGCACAAATGGCATATCGATAAATAAGCCTATGATAGCAATTATAAATTTAGGGGAGACTTTGGAAAAGGCCAAAGGAGAGAGAAATTTTTTAAAAGAAGCCAAAATGGACAAAATTGCCCTTATGTATTTTTGGATTTCCTAAGGAATCCTTTACATTTTGCATGTCTTTGGTTTGAAAGTTGAGAGGTTTTTCTGTCTTTTTGGAAAAAGTTTTGGTTTTTTCCAAAAGTGAAATTTTGTGTGTGGCTAAAACCTAAATTTACTTAAATTTAGATGACTTCATAAGGTTTAATTGTTTGTTCCAAATTTACTACATCTAGTTACTTGAAATACATTCAATCTCACGTTTTCTAAGTTTCTTTTAGTTATCTTTATTGTCAATCCAAATCCTTTCTTTCAAATATCTTCATTCAAACAGGGCTCAACAATTTTCTCAGAGAAACCAAGGATTGAATCATACACTGGAATTGGGACTGGTGGAACAAAATCATCATATGCTAAAGTTTTCTACCGTTGTCCAGTGGTGCTCCTACAGATGCTAATGTTTGAAGCGAAGACTGAAATTGTGTGATATCAAACTGAGACAAAAGTACTTGGGTGGACAGACAAATAGTCTTAATTATCCCTCGCTGGAATCTGTTTATTCACAGAGAATTGATTACAGACAAAAACGTTGATGAGTTGGGACCAGATTGAGCTTTCATCTTCTATCCTCCAACAACGGCGTAGTTTTCTGACTTAACAAACAGAAATACTAACTTTATTTGGAAAACTGTCGAAGAACCTAGTTATGAACAACATTTAAACAATGAACAAGAAGTTGAAGGATCGACATCGCTGCTCAAGTCTTGTGACATGATGACTCTGAAACGATGAAGAGAAACAAGATTTGATCTAGTTCAGACTAGTGAAGGTCGAGATAGATGAGGTCAATATTTCACCTAATTTGATTTGTTTCCCAATGGTGCTTCTATTACTTTTGTATCCTGTGTTTGCATGATAAAGAATTAAATACAAGAATGCTTGTATCCGGGCAGAGTAAACTATAAGCAAATTACAAGAAAGGTGATTTCTTTTTCCATGGTTTACTTAAAAGATAACGAGCATCTGCAGTAAAAGACAACGGTGAGATACATATGCGATCCAAACTCAACCAAAACATCTTCAGGGGCAATCTAGATTGTCCTACAATCGTTAATGTCGTGCAATTACTGTTAGAATCCACTAGGAGAAACATCATCTCCAGCTGATGGATCCCAACCAGGAGGCTTGATGTTTGGCCAGTCGCCTCGGCAGCCCAACCTTATGTAGAGGCTCTTCTTACCTTCAAAATAGACCACAAACAAAAAGGATTGTCAGTAACAGGCATCATAGAGTCTACATACATAAAAACAACATCAGCTTTGTATTGTTTGGAATGCTTTTTGAGGCTTCTTGGGGTTGAACATCTATATTTGACCATTCATTTCAGCGTCATTCAAATGGGTGCGCACAAAATTAAGCAATACCAACTTTCAAAGTTGCCACCTTTTTGAGGTTTCACAATCTTATTTAAGGTCAATGGCATAAGCGATGCAACTCTACTATAGAATACAGTTGTACCTCAGAGTGTTCATGGTCTTCAAAACAACAGGTCTTTGATGGAAGAAATGTGTGCAGTTCTATTTATTTAGTCAGCCGAATTTGCCTAGTTACGTTCCACTTTTTTGTAATTTTTAAATCCAATCTTACCCATGAACAAAACAGTGAACAATAATCTAAAAAAACGATGTCTCGGCTAGTAGGCTTCTCCCTCTCTACCCCTTGGTACAGAGGCATTAACTACCGTGGCTTTCTTTTTCTTTTTTAAAACATAATAAAGTTCTTTTGGTTAGAAAAAAAGAATTGAGGGTTAATAAAATAAAAGATAGACAATTGTAAAACAGTAGCTTCATTATATATAATTTTTTGAAATAATTGAGTAAATTTGGGGTCTAAAGAAAACCCCCAAAAGAATAACAGCACATCTGACCAAATAGAACAAATAGCGGCACAACTACTTTGTTTCCTGAGTGAGTGCACGGTAAACACAAAAAAAGTTATAAACATTATGACAGTGAAAGAATCCTAATTCAGTTTTTAAGTTTCAGAGTAATTTTAGTTGTGTCAAAGATAAGGAAGATGTAATTAGACATCCACTACAGCTTCCCATCTTGCAAACCAAAGTCAGGATTAGATGTCCTGGTAAGAAGCCTATAAACGAGAATGGGTTTTTGTTAATTAACTTTTGATTTTTAGCATTTTGTTAGAAGAAGTTGCGTAAACTGCTTCAAGTTGAAGTCCTTAGAGGAACACTCATTGTAGCATAGCAAGCTCAATGTCTAAAGGATAAACATCATTAATTTCTTCTTACCTGGAAGTTTCTTGTCTGATAGAATTAATTGTTTAAGGGCACTCAAGCATCCCTCAGCCACACTTTTAGCATGATCTGTATCCCAACCCTGTAGCTTGACAACCACGTCTGCATTTGAGTAAGCTAGTCTGCCATCTTTAATATGACTCCTGGCCTCTTCCTTTGCTGAATCTTCATCTACGTAGAGAAGTTATGAAGAAACATTCTGATTGAATTTAATAACAAACAAATGAGCTACCGCTACAGATGTGGCTGATTAAATCAAGAGTTGAATTGGATGGTTCCAGAGCAGTTTATCTTTTTCTCATACTCATGAACTCTAGATGCTTCATTTTTGCCTTTACATTTTATCAATGCCTGACGGAAGTATTTATCTTTTGTGCCTCAAACCCAAAATTTGGTTTTCAACTACTCAATTAGTGAGGCCAAATGTGTTTGATGCTCAATCAGTTCTATAGCTTGAGTTGAGATCACCTTTTGACATTGTGACTTTTATCTATAACTCAAATTGGAAGCTTCAGGTTTAATAAGCTGAGCCAGGCCTTCAGCTGATGGAGGAGGCAGGTCCAGAAGGATTTCCCTTCATCTCCTCTGTGATAGTTAAAGTTTTTTTTCAGAGATACCCTAATGTTTTACAGTCTAGCCAACACAGACCCGCATGGTGGGTTCATACTAATAAATTCTCTGGTGTCATATGCAGAACTATAAAATGGGTTACTTATCATAAATTAATTTTCTGTCGTAGATGTTAAAAAAACTCTTTAAACGCAAAACCCCAATACTTTCCTAAATACCAATCTGTTGGAAGCTCCATCAGCTGGAAATGCATCACATAGTCCTAGAGACTCAAAGTAAACAAGAATCATTATCTTCCAGAAATTATACAGATTGCTGGGTATGGACAGGTAAGTATAAGAGAATAAATTATTTTTGTTAAGTAAATCAAAGAATTACTGACTCCATTCATATGATGGAACTGAAATGCAACAAGCTTTGAAGTGTGAATAATGAAGAAGTGTCCATTCATTCATTATGCCACAAACAAATGGATTAGCCAACCATAAGAATGAATAGTGAAGAAGTGTTCATTCATCATGCGTTCATTCAGTTTTGTGCGAATATAAAACAACAATTGGTTGACATTCAAACTTCTTAAGCTTTCGAGAACTATGGTACAATAACAAAATTTATCATGACATCAGAGCAGGAGATCCTAAGGTCGGACTCTTTCAATTATAACCACTCAATTTATGTTCAATCAAGAGTAGGAAGAGCTATTCTGACCGTTTAACAAATTTTGAACATTAGAGGTTGCAACTAAACAGTTTGATGCTTACTCAATTCTATGAGATAAGGCTTGCATATCCTGACGAATAACTAATTTTCACTCCGCAATGAAAACCCCCAATGAACACAGATCAAGCTAATACAATTATCAAGTAAGCAGGCATAACTTGTACTGAAATTGAAAGACTCCTATACCTATGAAAATGATTAAAAAAATCGAGACATCCGTGAATTTGCAGTGAAGTATGGAACAAAAAGATACAAAATAATTGTTAGCCCCCTTCTTGTGATGACTTATATTTCTATAAACAATGGTAAACTGAAAAATTTATCATGGTATTAGGGTGGAAAATCCTGAGTTTGGATTCAAGCAACCATAACCTCCCAATTTATGTTGAATTTTACGTGTGGATGGGAAGAGGCCCACATATGAGGGAATGGTAAAATATAGAATAGTTGTTGATCCACATCCTTATGACTTACACTTTTTTCTGTTCTTGTTACAAATTACAATGACTTCTGCTTTTTTCTTTTTCTTTTTCCAGTTACAATGACTAATGTTTTTTTTTTTTTCAGTTGCAATGAATTATGCTTTTGAGAACAATGGTAAACGAACAAAACATATCAAGTTTATTGCAAACTCTAATCAGCCTGCATAGCTTCTTAATAATACTAGAAAATAACGTACAATCAATTATGTTAAGCATGACAGATAATGGCAGCAGTACCAGTTGCTTGTCGAAAGAAAATCAATGAAGAAATGATCAAAGAGAAATTACCTGTGGTTTCAGTTTGGGACAGCCAGACAGTAAATCCTGCATAAAGATGGCGCCATTTACCAGCCCTTCTAGCAGCTCCCTGCTGCCCTCCTAATGTTGCAACTACTGCTCGTACATGACTGTAATACCAACAAAGCCCATTAAAAGATACTCATTGTTTTCAACCGCCCATCCAACCACCACCCCAAGCGCCCCCGGCCCCCCCAACCAAAAAAAAAGATAAATAAATTCTATTGACATATAGTACCTACTTAAACTTTGTAATATAGCAATTTCTGCTTCTGCTACAGAGTCAGAACCTTCAGCAAGCAGCCCTGAAATTTATTAAACTTGTTAATAATAGGTGATAGTTTTTGTACAATATCAACTTTCAAGTCTTGTTTCATTCCAATCAAACAAATACAGGGTAACTAATAGCAATTAGATCATTTTTTTCGAATAGAGTGCTGGGTAAAGTAAACATCTACAAGTAGATCATAGGATGTGATTAACGGATAAATGAGGTAAATACGTATATTATCGAAAGCAGGTATTAATAACAGTGAGGAAGACAAAATCATATGTAAATATGAAGAAAGCATAGGGATCTGATGCAGAAAACACAGGTTGGATAGGAACAGAAGCAATTTTCCAACTCATTCATAAAAAACTTAAGAGGATAATGAAAACAACACCTAAAAATCAAAAATCACTTTTAACGTTGTTTTGTTTTAACCCTATGTCAGATACTCAATTTATAATTCATAAGTACAGGAAAGAACTCAATCATATAGTAGAAAGTTAAAAGGAGTATTCCTGTTTTTTAGTGAAAAGAAAATCAAAGGTTGTAGACACATTTGGTTTGCACCAGAGGGGTTTAATACAGAATAATGAATGTTTCTGTTAAAAGGGAGGCCGAAGGGGAGGGGAGATACAAACTAAGACATAGCATGGGGAGTGGGGTTTAAATGCTCTCAACCACCAGAGCTACAAGTACCCACCACAATATGTAAACTCATTGTTGCATAAATTGTTTACATATTTGTACTACGTTAACGCTTGGTTAGCCATCACCCTCATCATTCACAACAGAATTTTTTTCTACTACAGTTATGAACTTATATTGCACATAACCTAAAATTTCGGTGATTCATTTAGTGCACACCCCAGGAAGAAAGATGACAAGGATGGTACTGACATTGGTCACAGAGTCACAGCTAGTTCGGGTTTCAATAATGTGCACTTCATGACTCATGAGCTTGTAGATCAAAGAAAGAAAGGATAGTGAGTTGAGGTTTGACAAATGAATCAAAAAAATACTCACATGAATCAATGCTCTGCTTGGCAAATGTTTCCAGCAACTCCTTTGTACTCAGTGGTGTATATCTAAAACCAAATGAACCAAAGAACAGTACTGAATATAGGAAGACTCAGAAAATCAAACCAAGGAAAATTAGGTATTTGAATATAGGGACAGAGCCTACAGTTATGCAATTGAATCTTGCTTCCCACTATAAACAACTACCCTTACAAGCAGCTAGTTAAATAGTTACTCAGATGTAACTACAAAATGGAAACAGAATCATTATAACTACATGTGAAATTTGGGGAAGCTTGAAATTAACACTTAGATGTATCCCAATCTTTTCTTCAAAATAGTTTTGAACAAAAAGCAATACCCAAGACCAACTGCAAGTTCTTGAGCCACTTGCTGGTTGATTTCAGTTGAATCCCCAACAATGTAAATTGATGCTCCTTTCAGAAGTTGCATAGATCCCAGTGTCAGAGACTCCCAGGACTCCATAATATCAGGCCATTTCAATTCTGGATCCTGCTTTTTCAAGTTTATAACTAGCTCATCATCATCTATATACCTGCGCAAAACAAGAATTACCCATCTGAACAAGTGATCTACATTGTTATATAATTTCATGTGCTTTAAGTTTCACAAACCATATTGTTTCAGCAGGCTTTATTTTATCAAACAGATGATTAGTTTCCATAAGTGTGATAAGAGACCCAGAGTGCTGTACTTTTATTGTCAATGAGGTGCCATTTGCATCCACAAAAATATCTCTAGTGCTTTGGATATTTTGACCCCCAAGCTGTAATCTCAATTCCACCTCAGAAGAACCATCAAGAAACTGTAATGAGATAAAATAAAATCCAACTGGTGTAAGAACAACAAAAAACATAAGTCACTCAAAGAAAAAGGATCATTAATCTACGTAAGAATTTTGCTTGAGTTCTTATTAGATTCTATCAACATATGTTCAAATAGAAGTTGCAAAGGAACTCATATTCTTGTGAGTAATTTGCAAAGGGAACTCATTTTCAGAAATTGTAACTCAACCATCTCCAGGCTCAGCACTGAAGCAAAAACCTAGGATGAAAAATTATAATCTTTTTATCAAAAACAGCAGAAAACTCCATTTTTTTTCCTTCTTTGAAAAAAAAATGTTCTCACAGAAGCAAGGGAGAGGGTACCTCGTAGTTCTTGCTGGGGACGGGGATGGTGGAGAGACTCTGGGAGGAGACTTTGGGACTATAAGAGGTCTTCAGGTGGCGGCCATTTCCGAACAAAAGGCGAGGACTTGGGAAAGAAAGGTCGGTGAGTGAGAATGAGATACAACTCCATTTGGGTTTGCAGAGCTTCTGGAGGGAAGAGAGATGTGAGGTGTTGATTGGATTTTGCGAGCAACTGAAACCAGAGCAAGTGATAGTAGAAATTGTTGTATCCACCATTTCGGTTTTGGTTAAAGGAAAACAGAGAACTTGGATAAGAAAGTGGTGCTGTGAGTGAAGGTTGAGATATGCCCGCTATGAAAGAAAATGGGGTTTTTTATATTTTTTATATTTATATATATATATATTTATAATAGAGAAATTTTGCAACAAAACTATATCGGTCTTCAGACAAAAAATAAGTAAATTTATAATAAAACTCATGGCAACGTCTACGGTAATTTTTATTTTTATTTTTATTTTTTTTAAGGGTTCGTGGAATTTTAATGTTAACATGATTCTGTTTCCTTGCTCGTCATACTATTTTTGTGGCTGAACTCCAAACCCCAAAAAATCGCAAATGTTTCCTAAGGTACAAACCATTGGGTATCATTGGGTTTGGAGTTTTCTAAGGTTTGTGTGTCTTCCAGAATGTTTTTGTAGCAATAGCAAGGGTCAGAATGTTTTTGTAGCAACAGCATGGTCTCTAAGTTCAAAATTGTAGGCCACGTTTTTTAGCAGGGTTTGATGGAGGAGACTTTGTTGTATATCAATTTGTGAGTTACTGTATACAAGGATTAAAATATCGGTCATGCAGATAATATCAGGCCTCCAATTTACAGATATTTCAGGAGATATATCGTTATCGTTTTAGCTATTGGGAAAAAATGAACAAAAATAACAGATATAGGCATTGAAACACATAATTTTGGTTTAAAACTTTCATAGATATTATGTACATTATCAATAAATGTATTGAACAAATAAAACTCAAAATTTACTAATAATAAGATATACATATGATGAAATATAAGTGGTATGTAATGCGCGTTAATAAAATGTTTGAAAATAAAATGTTTATTAGAATGAATAAACCATGCATAAATCTATAGTTTGTTTAAACATTGGATTACAATTTAGATAAGTATCCAACTACATAAATGAAGAGCTCCTATGAGGTTCAAACAATGAGGAACAACCATCTAGATTCATATAATAATCATACCAAGTCATGTAATCCGAGCAGTTTGTAAGCCATGTTCGAACATGGTGCACATATATCTCTCTTGAGCTCCCTATTGTCCTCCCATATATGGGATAGTTAGGATTAACCCAACTAGTAGGTCCATAATCTATTTCATCATCTTGAGCTCCATAACTAGTTCCACTATAATCAGACATGACATAACCATAGTCATCATAAGATTCATTTGAGTTAGTACTAGGTCTAGTTCCTATGCTCATAGATCCAAAACTGATCGTCATGTCCTCTTCAGATGGATTGATTGGTTGGCTTCTTTTCCTTGAGTATTGCTTCCCAATTGCTCCAATGCTTGGTCCAGCTTTTCTGCATCCATGATCCTCATCTTGGGTGGCATGAGTAAAATCAGCCTCGATAGTAAATGGGCTATATTGTCTTCCTTCTTCATTACCTCATGATCCAGCATTACTTCCTCCATCATTATCTGACGAATTGAATGAACTTTCCTTTCTACTAGTACTGGCACCGTCTCCCGTCTTTGACCTTGCTGAGGTCCAAGCATATCCCTTTCAAATGATGAAGTATCTCCACTCCTAACATCTTCGGATATGACTCTATCAACATCAACTCCTTCTTGGCCAGCATGTTGTGCTATAACGGCATCAGGGTTGCCTTGTTCATCATCCAAGTGAGCTGTCATAATCCATTATTGAATTGGATTATTATCATCATCAGATGGTTGCCCTGCATGTCAAGAAGGTGTATGTAGTCATTTTCTGCAACCTTGTTCATTTCGGCCTCTTCATCACGTAGCTTAAGTTTCATATTATAATAGCAAAAGATAATATTTTCCAACCTAGTATATGCGAGACGGTTCCTTTGTTTCGTGTGAATAAGAGCAAATGTACTCCAATTTCGCTCACATGCCGATGATGATGCTGTTTGTGACAATATACGCATAGCAATTTTTTGCAAGTTCGGGACAAAATCACCATGAAGATTCCACCATTCTGCTAGGGGGATCGATTTTCTTGATTTGACGACCAACTCAGTGCAAAATGTCTTTCTACAGTCTCTAAAATTTATCACCTGGATTCACAATGTTTTGTGTTCAGTATGCATAAAACTAAACTTGATGAGGAAGACATTGTTTTGTGTTCACTTACCTCAGCCCCAAATGCATATCCCCAATTGGGTTCAACCTTTCAAATACGCGTTGGAGTCCTGAAAGTAACTCTTTATTGCGGCCAACCCCTGTTTCATATTGATATCTATGGTTCAAGTAGTGGGCTAAAAATATGAAGATTAGTAAATGCCCGTTGTATAAATTTAAAAATTGATGCACATTTTTACTAAGAGATTAAAACATACTAGCTTGATGTAATGGACGAGATAATGTGACATCTCATCTGTGATTGATGATTTTGAGAATCCATTTTTTTCCCTTCAACTTAGAAATCTTCTCATTATGTGAAACATATCATATAAGTTAGGCATGGTAGGAACTACCTTTGTGTCAACAATTCGCAGGATGCTATACAAAGGCTCATAGATGGATTTCACTCCTTCCATGGCATCCCAGAATCTATGATCAAGGACTCGACTTTCAATTCTCTTCCCCTCTTCAGATTCACTGAATAGACTATTATACCATTCCTCACTTGTAAAAAGTTGCCTCAACCTAGCTTTCTTATTTAAGATGTTATTGATGGTGATGTAGTTTGTCGCAAACCGAGTTGCACCGGGTCGAACCAAATCTCCTTGACAGAAGATCCTCATCTGAGCCAATAGCCAACCATGATTGTAAATGTAGTTGGTTAATTTCCTAGCTTTATTTATGACATTAGCCAACAACTCTTGCTTCCCAATATCTTCAAATATTAGATCAATCCAATGTGCAGCACAAGGAGTCCAATAAATAAGGTACCGCTCCATCATCATCTCTCCAGCCTTAACAAAGGCTAAACCATTGTCGGTGACAATATGAACAACATTCGACGGCCTAACCTCTTTTATGATATCCTTCAACAATTTGGCGATATACTTTGCATCCTTGGTTTTATCTGAAGCATCCGTTGATTTCAAAAAAAATTGTTTTCCCATTTAAGTAGACCATGAAATTTATTATGGACAACCTCGTCGGGCCAGTCCATCCATCACTCATGATGGTGCATCTATACACGCCCCAATCTTCCTTTACCTTTTCCACATAGGCTTGCATGTCTGTGTGTTCCATATCTAAGTACTTATGCTTTATTTCATACGGCGATGGTGTGGCTATGCCTTGACCTAATATAATCGAACTCATATTAGCAATTGGTGTGTTTAGAATATTTAAGTTCAAGAAAGGAAAGTCATAAGGAATAAAGCAAAACCTGCTTGTTGGGCTGCAGCAATCATGTTCTTGAAATAAGGGGAACTTGCTTTTGGAGGAGCCACATTCTCAAGTATGAAGAATTTGCTGCAGTATCTTCCAAGTACCTCTGCTGAGTTTCTAATCATGCCTTTGATTGTTCTTTGTTTTGCTCTAGTGTTCTTGTATGGCATTGGTAACGGAGGAGATCGGAGTGGATCTTGAAGGCTTTAAGTGCGACGGTATTGCGGTTGACTACTACCACTTGCTCCCCCTGCAAATCGTTTGCTTCCCATTCCGTAAACTCCTCCTTGTCTAAACTGTTCTTCTTGCTTCGACACTCTAATGGCAGCAAGGTAATCTTTTTTCTCCGCAGGGTGCATGTCTGGAGGATATGCATATCCATCCTCATCATCATCATCATCATCAACAGGATTGCTACTTTTATTGCCCATGTATCCCCCTCTTGCCGTAGATCTTATGTTTTCTTTAACAGATTTCTTATGTTGTTTGCTAGACTTTTTATCCTTTGTCCATGCAATTACCTCCTTCTTAATATCTGGTGGTACTTCTTTGCACTTCTTTACACTTTTATGTGGATCAAATCCGGCTAAATGATAATTTAACCGTGTAATTCCACCACTTTGAAATGTGGATTCACAAAATGTGCATATTGTGCCATGCTTATTGCCTTCTATTGGACGAGCATATTTCCATGCCACATCAAGACCACCAGGCACACTAGCTCAACTTGGTCCACTACTATTTGCCATTTTTAATCTATCACACTTAAATATATTAAATTAACTTACAATATCAAATCTATCACAAAAATAATACAGACCATGAGGGAGAGCCACATACCTGAAACAACAGTCAAAGAGAACTTGCAAACAAGGAAAGAAGCTCACAGACTAAATAAAAATTGAAAAGCTCGCAAAGAAAGAAGAGAAGTGAAGATTTGGTGCCCCAAAAAAAAGCAAAACAGCCTCTGATTTAAAGAGGGCTTCTCTCATGATAACAGTGGGAAGTTTTAGGGGTTGGGGGACGATGGTATATGAGCTTTGCAGACTTTATTTTATGGATTCCAGTTGGATGATTCTCTGGCTTTGATGGAAATAAAGGTAGTCAGATTTTTTGGAGGTATATGGGCAGTGAATTGCATATTGCCAATTGCCTGACTTCAAAAAGTGAAAAAGAAACAGCCAAAAAATGAAACAAGTATTAAATGATAAAGAGTTCCACAAGAAGCTCAGACATGTGCATCATTTTCTTGCGTTTGTGTTGGGTATTAAAGATATATTTGACTATAAATTTAATATTTGGATTTGTGTATTTCTTTCTCTTGAGATAAGATACGTATGTCCCCTCAATTGATTGTGGATAGATTCTTCATAGGAATAATTAATAGATACTACAAAAAATCTTTGGAATTGGATATTGCCAAAAGTCTTCACACATAGACTGCCCACATACCTCTAAAAAATCTTTTGGGTTTCAATTTGCTTTAAAACTTTTGAATTTTTTTGGTTTTGTTATAGGTATCGGGAAATATCGAGGATATCGACAAAATATCGGGGATATCACATTTAACGGGGATATATCGTCAATATCGAGGAAGATATGGCCTTACCCCCACTATCGGTATCGACAGTTGAAAATATTGATATATCAGCCGATATATCGATGTATTGGCTGATATTTCAGTCCTTGACTGTATATCGATTTGGCAATTGATGGGTATCAATTTGGCAGTTCTGGATTATCGATATGGCAATTCCC